ACAGCTACCTCCAACTCCTGGGCTCAAGCAAGTCTTCTGCCTCAGCCTCCCAAGTAGCTGGGACCACAGGCGCCCGCCATAGTGCCCAGCTATTTTTTGGTTGCAGCCGTCATTGTTGTTTTGGCGGGCCAGGGCTGGATTCGAACCCGCCACCTTAGGTGTATGTGGCTGGGGCCTTAGCCACTTGAGCCACAGGCACCAAGCCTCCTGCTGTTTTTAGTAGCTTGGATGACACTGAGCTATAGACAAAACTGGTATTTAGTCTGTTGAGTCAACATTTTGTCTCTCTCAAGGACCTCTTCCTTAATGGATTGACTTCATCAGATACTTGCTGGCAAATGGGAATAAGATCTAGTTCAGACTCTCTTGGCCATCTAGGGGTAGGTCACTGGGAAAGGGCAGATTTGGGTCAGCAGTACCCTGGCTTAGAGGTCGGCAGCTGGGGGACACTATACCAGAACCTGGAGGGTACTTGCTGAGGAGCTTGCTCAGTTCATGCTGACACTGTGGAAGCATGTCCCATCTAAGGGTTCCACTATGAGTAGAAAGATCCTGTTAGAAGAAACGCTTTTAAATAGGAATGAGAGGCTTCGAGACAGAGGGAAATGCAAGAAGTCTGAGGTGCAGGCTGTAGGTCAGAATGTGAATAGTCAGGCAATTTCTTGTTCTTGTGTTTGAAGAAGATAACTTTTTTTTTGTCTTTTGTGAGACAGGGTCTCACTCTGTTGGTATCATCACAGCTCACTGCAGCCTCGAACTCCTGGGCTTAAGCAATCCTCCTGCTTCAGCCTCTGGAGTAGCTGGGACTACAGGTGTGATCCATGACAACTGGCTAAGGCTTTTTTTATATTTTTTGTAGAGAGTCAAGGTTTTACTGTTTCTCAGGTTGTCTCAAACTCCTGGCCTCAACCTCAAGCAGTCCTCCCACCTTGGCCTTAAAGAACATACTTTTTTTCTGATTGACATCCTAGGTGGGGAGTCAGAGATATGCCAGGACTTGAGGTTCCTGGGAAATCCATGGGGCTTCTGGAGAAGCTGTGGAAGGAGTTGCAGGCCCTATTTCCTGCATCCGCCACACAGTGAGGAAGCTGCACTCTTATTGGACACTTCCTCTGCCACATACCTTGCTCCTACTTTTTCTCACTATGATGTTTTTTTATGGGGGTGCACCATGACTTCACCCATCTAATTTCCCTATGGGTTCAGAGATGCTAGTTTTTGTGCTCGTTTTACAGAGGAGGAGTAAAGTCAGAAGGCCCAGGCACTCCGATATGGCACCATATGAGGCGCCACAGAGAGCAGCTCAGTTCTGGTTACTCAGACTTGTTTTCTTTCCTTTTAAAGATAAAGTCTTCTGGCTCGGCGCCTGTGGCTCAAGTGGCTAAGGCACCAGCCATATACACCTAAGGTGGCAGGTTCAAATGCAGACCAGGCCCGCCAAACAACAATGATGGCTGCAACCAAAAAAAAAAAAAAATAATAGCCAGACGTTGTGGCAGGTGCCTGTAGTCCCAGCTACTTGGGAAGTGGAGGCAGGAGACTCACTTGAGCCTAGGAGTTGGAGGTTGCTGTGAGCTGTGATGCCACGGCACTCTTCCCAGGGGGATAGCTTGAGTCTCTGTTTCAAAAAAAAAGATAAAAGTCTTCCTCTGTCACCAGGGCTAGAGTGCAGTAATATCATCATAGCTCACTGCAAACGCAAACTCTTAGACTCAAGCAGCCCTCCCACTTCAGTGTGCTGAGTGGCTGGGACTACAGACACTTGTCTCCAACCATAAGTGGTGCTACACCTTTCAAGGTTGATTAAGCTCCCATGTTTTCTCATTATGATGTTATTTTATGGGGGTGCTTCTTATTAAGAATTTCATACTGTGACATTAGATTTGGGTCACAGAGGCCAAAATTTTTGTGTTCTTTACAATGTGAGCCTTTTTGGGACAGGTGCAGTGGCTCAGACCTGTAATCCTAGCACTCTGGGAGGCCGAGGTGGTGGGTAGCTTGAGCTTAGGAGTTCGAGACCAGCCTGAGGCAAGAGTAAGACCCTGTCTCCAACAAACAAACAAACAAACACAAAACCCAGCTAGGCTCAGCGCCTGTAGCTCAGTGGGTAGCGCCTGTAGCTCAGTGGGTAGGGCATTGGCCACATACAGTGGGGCTGGAAGGTTCAAACCTGGCCCAGGCCTGCTAAACAACAATGACAACGACAACAACAAAATAGTCAGGTGTTATGGTGGGTGCCTGTAGTCCCAGCTACTTGGGAGGCTGAGGCAAGAGAATCGCTTAAGCCCGGGAGTTTGAAGTTGCTGTGAGCTGTGATGCCATGGCTACCAAGGGTGACATAGTAAGACTGTCTCAACCCAAAAAAAACTATCTGGGTGTTGGGGCAGGCACCTATAGTCCCAGCTACTTGGGAGGCTGAGGCAAGAGAATCACTTGAGCCCGGAAGTTTGAAGTTGTAGTGAGCTGTGACACTACAGCACTCTACCCAGGGCGACAAACTGAGACTCTGTCTCATAAACAAACAAATAAATAAATAGATAAATAAAGTGTGAACTTTTTCTGGCTCTAGCTGCTACTTAGACTGCACCTGCAGGAGTGATGGTTTTCACTTGACTGCATCTTTTATCATATACTAATAGAGCCTCAGAAGTCCCCTTGACTTCAGCTGCTCATTGGGCTGTCCTATAAGAGAATAATATATAAGGCAATGCCTATGGCTCAAGGAGTAGGGCGCCGGCCACGTATACCAGAGGTGGTGGGTTCAAACTTGGCCCCAGCCAAAAACTGCAAAAAAAAAAAAAAAAAAAAAGAAAGGTAATTTATAGTGGCTTTCTTGGTCCTTTCTTCTTTGTAACTGATTATCCACTCTTGTATAGTGATACTGCTGGTTATTGTACCTAAGTGCAATCTGATAATTGCCCAGCAAGACTGGCCTGCTGTCTTTCTGGTCCTTGCCTAAACTCTCTGGGGTCTTCCTGCAGGTTTGTCCCTGATAGCTTGGTATGTCACTGCCCAGAAAAGCTTAATGTTGCTACACACATGGAGATTTCAGTGGGGGCCCTGCTTAAATAGGGAAGGTGAAAACCATTTTCTGGAGGCTTTGGCACTAGATCTCCAGGAGCAAAGTACCTTTACTGAGATCCTTAGAAGGCCCAATAATTTTAAATTGTTTACAGTAGTGGTTGGCAAAGGGCCAAAGTCTGGCCAGTGTGGTCCAAGGACCAGATCTGGCCAGATGCCTGTTCTTGGCAAATGAAGTTTTATTGGACCCTGCCCATCTGTTCATGGACTGTACAGGGCTGCCTTTGAGTTACAACAGTGGAGTTGAGTCATTGTGACCAAGACCATGTGACCTACAAAACCTAAAAATACTGGTCCTTTACAGAAAAAGTTTTCTGTCCCATATCTTACCATTTCAATTTTTTATTCCTCCATACCAGTCATTCACAGAATTGTATTTCTAAGGGCAAATCCACCCTTGATGCTGTGCTCCTGACTTCTCTCTGCCATTCTGAGCAGCAGCTGAGGCATCTGCAGCACTGCCTTGGTTTCCCTGCCTGGGGCCAAGGTGCCACCGCTTTAGCTCAATGGCTTCTCTCCTCTTCTTTCTCTCTACTCTCTCCAGCCTTCCCAGTAGACCTTTCCCTCTTTGGCACATTTGGAAACTGCAGTTGATAAATGACTGTGGACTAGTGAGCATTTTTTGTTTTAAGAGAACACCCAAGGTAAATATTTTCCCTTTCCCTTTCTCTTTGCTTTCCTTCCCTTTAGCTGTGGGGTGAGCAGGGCAGACAGCTCCCCACAATGGGAGGCATTTATGGGCACTACATTTATCTTTCTGGGAAATAGGAAGGAGCATGAAACATCACAGCCTTGGAAGATAAAACTTCTTCCAGCAGAGGGAGCTTTATGGCCGGCCTAGGGCGGGTTCCTCTTGCCCAACGGAATGGCTGGGCTCCCTGGAGTCAGAAACCCATAGGCCCTGCTTTCCAGGTCTCTGAGGGGTGGCTTGTGTCCTCAGTAGTTTTTTTCTTATGATACCAAGTGATAACTCCCAGCCCTGTCTTAATTCCTCTAAGGCAGTGTTTTTCAACCTTTTTTTATTTCACGGCATACTTGAACTTATAGTTAAACTTAAGGTGGAACATTTAAATTATGTTGATTTAAAAAAAAAAAAAGTAGGCTTGGTGCCCATAACACAGTGGTTACAGCACCAGCCACATACACCGAGGCTGGCAGGTTCAAACCTGGCCCGGGTTAGCTGAACAACAATGACAACTGCAACAACAACAACAACAAAAATAGCCAGACGTTGTGGCGGGCACCTGTAGTCCCAGCTACTTAGTAGGCTGAGGCAAGAGAATCACTTAAGCCCAGGAGTTGGAGGTTGCTGTGAGCTGTGACGCCATGGCAC